TTTTTTTTTTTTTTTTTTTTTCGTCCCCAGTTCATTGGACGATTCACGCGAATGGCTGTTATTTTTTAATTGCAGGAAACCGACTATCGTTACTGCGCGAACTTTGTCATTGCGAAGATAAGGAATCTAGTTGTACTCAGAGTGCTACTTGGGATGGTGTTCTCGCGAGGAATAATATTTGCTAAAAATTTGTGCTGTTCTTTTCTTTTTTTTTTTTTTTTTTTTGTTTTTATCGTCAAGTCGGTATAAAATTCTACGTGTATGTTACATTATGCTGTGTGTATATAGAAATTTTAAAGATACATTGTATCTATTGTCATTGTCTACTGGATCTCCGAGTTCAGAGAAGAATGATTCAGATTTCAAAGAAGAACTGCGATGGGATCAACAACTCTTTTCCTATCCAGCAAGAGCAAAGAAAAATATCGATTCTGAATATCAGCATATATTCTTTCAAACGAAGAGAGATAATAAGAAGAGTTTGAAGTTGAAACATAATTTCAGCAAGTCAAGAAATCAGAAAGTTAAAACGAGAAGAGAAAGAAAAAAGAAGAGATTGTGAACAGAGAAAACTAGACTGTGTGTCCTGTCTTGCTACATTTAAAAAAAAAATCAAACTAATCTATCTTCCGAAGAAAACAAAGCACAAATTTGTCTTGGCTTTCGATGGACACATATGCATTCCCGTTTAAAAGTTTGGTGCAGCCTTTGCTTCTTAAACAAAATCCGGGAAATAAGAATGTTGTAATTATAAGCTTCGATTTAGAAGAAGTATAATCAATTGCAGTTTTGCTAATAATAAAGTATTTATCCAAGAAATATTTTATAATCTACGATAAAATATCCAAGAAAATCGGAACATTCTCTCGAAACTTCAATGCTTGAAAATGTGTGATGAAGCTCAACAGAGCGTAGCTTAGCTCGCCGATGAACCAAGTTTCGTATTACATCTCGTCACATTATCATCGATTATTGCAACGTTTCCACAACAGGTTGAAGTTACATCTAGCTAGGAGTTACAGCTGGATGACAAGCTTCGCGGGACTGCGAATATTAAATGAAACGAGAGCTTGTTCCAACATCTTAGAACAACGACGTTACTTAACCGCGCATACCGTGATCAAGAGGAAAAACAAAACGTGGTGGTTGAAAAACGATATCTACTTTCGTTGAATTCGATCGATCGTGCGACTCATGCCGCGACGATTTCTCACATCTTCACATCTTGTGTATTTTTCTCGGATTTTTGAACCGTCATCGGAAAACTGCATTACCATGTGACACATTCGCTGCTGCTAAACCAAGCAGATCCAGTCTCGTATAATTTTCACCGCGGACGTACGAACGTTGGTTGGGAATGTTCGCCGGGTCAAAGTACGGGTCCCTGGGTTCGTGTCAGAGAAGAAAAGAGCCAACCGACGCGTTAACGAATGTATCTGATTGTACGATTTCACCCCTGGCTGAACCACCGTGGAAGCCCCGGATGAGTTGTTGGATCGTAAAAGTATATCTGATTTCGTAGGAGGTCCCGCTATCAACGTCCCGGTTTTAATGGTATTTCAACTTGAAACGAGCCTGCTCGTACGAAGTCTGCTTCCACGTTTTGATAGATCTCGCGATTTAACACCGTGTTTTGAAAGAACGTGTCAACTCGCCGAGTTTCTAAATTTTCTCTTTAGTTAGATCGGGCGGTCATCGTATCGCGAAGAAAAATTTTAAGGCAATTTCAAACGGCGAGTCGCTAAAATTTTAACTCAAGTCAATCAAATTCCACCGTTTGCTCCTTCACTTCAGTAGATTAGTGTCCTTTCATTCAGCGTCGTGTTTTAAAAAGAAAATTGATCACCCTTTCAAAGCACAAACTCTTAAAATTCCATCATTTCCTCGTTTGTTTGTTTTTTTTTATTTCAATAAATTAATAAATTAGCATCCTTTCATTCTACAACTCAACGCACGTCCAATTCCGCGAAAAAACATTCCAAAAAAAAAAAAAAGAAATTGCAAGATGAAAAGACAGCAACCTAACGAGGGCTAAACGAGGACTAAAGCGAAGAAACTGTCAATTCGGTGGCCTTTCAAATTCGCTTCAAATCGACCGAGTCAAACACCCGTCACATTTTCGATGCTCTGTCCACCGCATGTGAAAACGAGGAAGTGAGGAACGCGCCGAGCCATCGAGCGTTCAACAGGTAACCGCGTCACCGAGGTGAAATTACTCTGTCGATTCGCGGTTTCGCGCGCGATCACACGCAGAAATGACAAAATGACGATCTCCGGTGGTTCGATCGTTCGAGCCGGCACGTAGAGAGACGACTCTATTCGAAGCTGTCACTAACGAAATTCCGCTGCCATGCGACCGCGACGATCTGTATCAGATATTTATTTATGCGAATCCGCTGGTCAGCTCGCGCGAATTAAACGAACGCCGCGTACCGTTCCATCGACATCCATCACGCGAATTCATCCTCCTTACCAACATTTCCCCTCTTTTCTCTGCCTGCCCTGTTTCGTCTTCCCGCTGAAGAATTTATTCAACGATGATACGCGTCAGGCCTCTAATCTCTGGCTCGAATTCGAGCACGTTTTATAGCGTTTATTTATTCGTGCGAGTTGTTAAGAATCCCGGTATAAAGAGCAAGGATACCGTCCTTCGGGATGAGATTTCTCTTGGGACTTGCCCAATGTTATGATGGTAAATCGGCCACAAAAAAAAAAAATACTACTACTACTACTACATGCTACAAATTCTAAAAGCGAGCATAGTGACAAAATAATAACAAGAATGGCTTCCCATGCTTTAGATGGATTTCCCATCCAGAGGATGATAAGCCATTTGTTGCAGCCCTCTTCTATGGCAGTTTGCCGGGCCTCTTCTTTTCTTCGGGCGCGATGCCCACTGAAACTTAAATCTAGGCTCGAGTCTTTCTAATCGCAAAACCAGAAAATCACTTATAAAGGTGAAATGAAAAGATAAACCGCGGAAGCTGATCCCAATACACATGGACGACCATCGATCATAGTGATCGTTGTCCATTCGCATGTGCGTGCTCGAGCAATACTTACACAAACGTTCGTTTCGGGACCTACTCGCGACCGCGACCGCGATACTAAA